GGACAGAGGACAGGACAGAACACAGGAATGATAGTGACAGAGGACAGGTCAGAACAAAGGAATGACAGGGACAGAGGACAGGACAGAACACAGGATAGGGACAGAGGACAAGACAGAACACAGGAATGATAGGGACAGAGGATAGGGACAGAGGACAAGACAGAACACTGGGATGATAGGGACAGGGGACAACACAGAACAAAGGAATGACAGGGACAGAGGACAGGACAGAACACAGGAATGATAGGGACAGAGGACAAGCCAGAACACAGGAAGGTGGGACAGAGGATAGGGACAGAGGACAAGGCAGAACACAGGAATGATAGGGACAGAGGATAGGGACTGAGGACAAGACAGAACACAGGAATGATAGGGACAGAGGATAGGGACAGAGGACAAGACAGAACACAGGAATGACAGAGACACAGGATAGAACACAAGAATGACAGGGACAGATGACACGACAGAACACAGGAATGACAGGGACAGAGAACAGGACAGAACACAGGAAAGACAGGGATAGAGGACAGGACAGAACAAAGGAATGAGCAGGAAAGAAACGTAGATGGGACCAGAGACAGGAAAATAGGTCAATCTATAGCTATATACACCCAGAGATACAAATCACCTTGAACAAAGCAACCTTATGCAAAGCTTAAGCTTCTTTAGATTAAATGTCTCAAATTTATCACTGACACTTTGTACATATAAGTTCATTTACTAAATGTTATCTTACCTGGAGACAGGGCATGAGCAAACTTGCACTGGAAGTCACACGCACTACTCAGGAGGTAATTATTAGAGAGAATGATGACCATCCTCCGACACCTGTAGCAAGTAGAACAGCACGTATTATACAGAGTACCTAAAGATAAATTTATTTTGATGCACATCCCTTCTAGATAACCTAAATAAGAGTATCCTAAAACATAAGGGACATAACATTGTAGGAAATCCCTAGGCCTACTATCCTTTTTTTAATGAGTATTGTTAATTGCTGACTTCAAACATAAGTAATTTATCTCCCATGTGTTAAGCCTCTAGCAGATTCATGTATGTATGCAACTCAATGTGCTTAGTGTCTATGAAGTATCCACACAAAATGTTCTACATTCTTTGACTCAATGAGCTTAGCTTCTGTAAATACACATAAAAATTAACCACTTACTAGGACTGTGAGCTTAGTGTCCATAAACAATCACACAAAATTATCAAATATGATTCAATGAACTTAGCATCTTTAAATGATCGACACAAGATGTTCCACTTACCGTGTCTCAATGAGCCTAGCATCCATCACATACTTAGCAGCTCCTGGTAGGTCGTCCCTACCAGGTATGAACAGCTTCAGTTTGTGCGGTTCACCTTCCAGTATCTTAATCATGTCCTTTACAAATCTGATATCCTCCCCGTCATGGTTGTAGGACACAAATGCATCAAAGTACTGGGGAGCCTTGTTTTCAACTAGATACATAAAAATTGTAATTATAAACATTATAAACATTATAAACATGTATTATATGATATTAGTAGTGGAATGATTTGAATAACATAATGAGTTGAAAGCAGGTATGTATATAGAAGTTTAACTGATAATATCTATATTGTATTAAGTTTCGTAATTTGCAAGCAGAATTACAGATCTATTTGCCTTTATAAAACAGCATATCAAATTAAGGAAAAGTTCTAAAGAAATGCTGAGAATGCAACATTAGAGTTAGCACCAATAATGATTTATCTGTAAACTATTTTGATTTTAAGATCTGCTCCACTCTCCGTATGCTCCCCTTGATCAACAGTTTGTATTGATTAAACAAATAACTTAAATTATAAGTGGATCAGTTGGAATACTCTGGGTCTTAATCTCTGCCAACTCTCTCTGTAAGATTAACTTACTCTCCCTCTGAGAGAGTAACTATCCTCTCTATAGTCACTTCCCTGCTACATACAGTCAGTATATATCCCCTCTATAGAAAATCACTTACCATCTCCTCTACAAGTAATGATTTCCTCATCTACATGGTGGTCTGAACTTTGTGATACTGCAACACATAGAAAATGAAATTTGAAAGACAATTACTTTAAGTGTTTACTATTGGTTTTGTCTTCAGGAGAGTAACACTGAAAAGCTGCAGATACCAAGATAAAGATTTAACTCTGTGTTTCATATTTTGATTAATACAAGGTATTTTTCAACTTATATGATGGATAAGGTTGTTTATATTTATATTCATCCCACTAAAAATGAAGTGTTATTCATTAAGACACCACTGCCAAAGTAAGCAAGTCCCCACCCAGCCAAAGTAAGCAAGTCCCCACCCAGCCAAAGTAAGCAACCACCCAGCCAAAGTAAGCAATTCCCCACCCAGCCAAAGTAAGCAAGTCCCGACCCGAAGTTTCATAACGGAACCCCAGTTTCACTTTGGCCACCTGTGATGTAACCCCTGGACCGATGTTTCAGATATCAAGAATGCTCGTGATAATTTTGAATATAAGATTGAATGACTTCATTCATTATTGATAATATTGATATATCACAACTTATAACTTCACTTTGGTTCATAAGAACTTTTTTCTGTCATGATGTGAATGCTAACCAATGTATTTTACCATGGGTTTATAACCAACTTGTATTAATTTGTTCCTCTAAATTAGCTTAAAATAATATAAAAATTGTCTAAAGAGTGTATGGTTGTAGCATAAAGTCCTGTGTTACCGTCGTTGCTCTGGACAGGTTGTATCATGTTCTCTTGTCTCTCTTTGTTTCTCAGGAATAATTCTACATCGTTTACTGAAAGTATACAAAAATGTTTATACCATAAAACATACATTTTCATTGTAAATGCTCTAAATGAATTAAAACTATTCCAAATGTTGTTATAAAATCATAGTACAGAAGACTTCTATATTTTGAATATTTCTTACTGAAAACTATTTTGATCTTTCCAGCAAATGTTATAGCACTCGCTGTCAGGAACCAATCATGGTATGACGTCAGAAAAGACTTGTAAATAAGTCCTCATCAAAATCTGACTAGTGCAGCATACCCCCTCCCAGCGTGCTAACTCAATATCAACACAGATACAGATCTAGACGTCAAATTCAAACTTATACTGATTACTCAAGTTTGTTCATGATAATGTAAACGGTACTGTTACTTATATCCATTTTATATATACACCCATTTCACCCTTCTTATATACACCCATTTCACGAAATCACATCATTTACCTATAGCTAGTTGGCAATCCTTCATGACGTCGAATCTGCCGAGAAAGTACAGACCCTCCCATAGTTTGCCAATGGACGGTTGCAGATCGTCCCTTGTTTCCCATTCCTCTAGTAATTCTTCGGTCGGGCTTTTCTGTCTGGAGAAGTGTTTTATTTCCAAGTAAATAAATCCGACAAATTCAGCGAAGCCATTGTAATCGTTGACATACCCTGTCTCTTGGTCCACGATTTCTGAGGGGACGTTGAGGTGTAGGGCAATAGTTTTCCTTATGCTACAGCGAAGCGCTGTCAGGGGAATTTTGAGGAAATGCTCGGGAAGTCCCAGACTTTCTCCGTTCCCATCAACAACCTCCATCTGGAATGACATGGCATCAATTTGAAGAAATCTCGGGCGGCAGAAAAAGGAAGTTTTATAACCAAAAAAACTCTCACATCTTAGTTATAGTTTCAATGTTTACATGTAAACCTCGAGACAATGTTTTAAATGTGACAGTGTTTTGTGAACGGGTTCAACCAATAACTTCCGGGTTCGGGATTGAAACACGCACAAACTGTAAAGCGTTTGATTGACTAAGATGCAAAGGGCAGAGATGGGAATTCTCCCATCTCTGCCTGCTCGCGTAGACTTGCACATGCCAATTCGGGTCATTTCGGTACAAAACAGCGTAGCCGAATCGACATTGATTTTTGTGGACAACTCGTACACATTTTACACCTTTGTGTGCATACGCTTCACTGGTCATTTGTCTGATGAAGGTGACAGTGTACATATATATCGAAGTCTACTAGTCATCGAAACGTCACATAGAAAATTGTATTGGTTGTGTAAAAAGAACTTTTCATAATCATTGATATTGACATTGGACCCTGAATATCATCCCATTTTTGACAAATTCATGTGTATTTTTGTTAGTGTTAAATATTATATATAGGTAATAATAAAATATTTTTATTCTGTTAGAGTTTTACTCTGTATCTCAATTTGTTCTTCTGTCACTTCAGATATAATTCTTGATACAGGAGGATGCATTGATCGATGTGCTGTACTGTGACTTTATGAAAGCATTTGACAAAGTCCCTCACCACCGACTCGTCCATAAAATGAGCATGTACGGATTTACGGGTAAAATCACGAGCTGGATTAAGGCCTTTCTTCTTATTCGCAAACAACGCATAACAATAAATGGAGACACGTCATGTTGGAAGAAGGTGAGCAGTGGTATTCCACAAGGATCCGTCCTAGGACCAGTCCTATTAGACATTTCTCATTTTGAGGTAGACCGAGCGAGGAGAGCGGAGACGGACACTAACACAAGCAAATATGGGGTCATCTCAAAAAATAATTTTATTCATAGAAAGATCATTGTGTAGTGGAGTAAAACACCTGTCCCGTACGTCAGGTAAAGGAACAGGTAATATTCTATGGAGACGCATATATGGTCAAGACTTTTATACACAGTAAGATATCGATTACCACTACTGGAAAAGTCTTTGTCGCCTCACAGCAAGAGCTGCACAAATGTCAACTATAGAACAAATGCACCATCTTGGGTTGCGCCACAGACTTCCGATGACACGATACATTTTCATTTTACGAATAAAATGTTCCACGCTTACGCGATGCCTATTCATGATAGCGTCAAGGTGCAGATATTTGTTCTGCACATTCTGGGGAGCTTGTCTGATTTGTTGCCTGCGAAATGGCGTCATGATAGGATATCTGTTGGGGAATATCTTGTCGCCAAGAATCAAACAATTATCCAGGAAATCTAATTCCAAATTTGGTCCGATGGTAGGCAAATGTGTGAGAATTTGAGCGTCGTTTTGGTGACTCGAAAAACCACCTTACAATTGGTTTTAGAATCACACTCAACTCATTTTTATAGTAGAGATAATGATGAATAATTGATTATTTATACAAAAAATACAATTTTGCAGAAATCGCAACATATCACTGTTATTTCATCGCCGAGTAACCTCAACCAATCAGAATTTCGAATAACAAATACCTTGTCAAAACACTGCGTTATATGACGTCATCATTTTTGTGTTGATCATTTTGATATTATGGGAGATGACCTGAAAAAGTATTTCATCGGGGAAATAATCAAGATTAAATTACTAGTCAATTTACAAATATCATATCCAAATTTATCACATGAATACCGTGTTATGCAGTGTCAAAAAGCCATCACTCCGGAAATGACGTCACAATCAATGTGACGTCAAGTCATTGTGAAGCGGTCACAATTTTCATCGTTTCAGAGGCGGCCAAGTGCAAAATATTCGTTTCAGATCACAATTATACAGTTTACTTTGTATAATATGATAAAAAGAATCTGGCATTCGTTTCCCTTCATATCAGATTGATGATACTCGTTTTGTTTGACTGCCAGGAACTTCTCATGCTTCGTGCCTATCAAAAGCATCCCTGCTCTTGGTTACGAAATAATTGGCGAAATTCAAGGAAATTCGTCTCTTCTTCCACAAAAAACGCGTGGTTTATACGAAAAATCCACCATGAAACAGCTACGAGACAGATTATCAACCAAGCTGTCTCTCCTCCTCAAAAAGGGAACGGAGGATAGCGAGACCAGGTATTTAACCATTCCTTCATTCATTTATACATGTATGTACAAAAATTGCCTACATAATGAATTCATCATTCTTCTCCATTGACCGTTTACAGCTTCATTACTTTAAATGTGAATTTATGCAGCGATATCATATGAAGAGACTATCAGGCGAAATTGCATTCATGGATGAACGGAATAGGATCAGTATCATTTTGACGCTTCTCCTTGCGCATAACACAAGACTTTCCTAGCAGCAATCATCCAGATGAAGCTAAGTTTTCCATGAATGTGGTTTGAAAGGACGATAAGGGAAACCGTAAATGATTAAGATAATTAAGAAAACGAATATACAATAAAAAAAAATGTAAAGAGATATGGCGGGTTGCTATGCCTATTTTTATCCAAAGGTGTGATCCGCTAGTATTCGCGTGCCACCGTGCACCCTGTCATGACGCGTCCTTAGATATTTCTATACAGGTAGCTCTATCGGAATCCTGTGTCTAAGAATATATTATTGCAAACAGCATAATTTAAGGTCACAAGTTAACTGCGTTACACATTCGGCTACATCGGACATAGACGAATATGGAAATACAAACTGTTTTTACCCAAGAAACACCTGTCGCAGGTTAATGAAACTCGCTAACTTTTCCGGCATACGTGTTGTGTATATCACGGAATCAAAAAGTTAATTCAAAAGTTGGTCCTCGGATGGGTAAGTGTTGGAAAGTATTTTTTTAAAGTCTTGGATACCCAATTACTTTCATAGATATAGTGAATATGGCTATATTTGCAGTATCATATTAACAATACTTAATATCTCAGCAGTTCAAAAATTCATATTTCCGTTTTCATAAGTGACGACTTGGGGAAATATGGGCAATTTTCCGCCATAGTTCGTTAAGTATTACTGGTATTAAAGTTAAATATCAAGATCTATTCAATCCCTATATGTATGCATAAACTACACAGAACCTCAACTCTACTGATCTATTAAGAACATGTGTATGTTTTTGTTTTTCTCATAGGTCTGAGCTGGACAAAATCAGACTCTTGGAAA